GTGTGCATATATGTGTGTGCATGTGTATATATGTGTATGTGTGTATGTAATCAGAGGATCAGAAAACCTGGTAGTCGCACCATGCTCCAGCGGGACGTACCTTAGATGTTTGATCCATGCATGTTTGACTGTTTTAGCTATGCCATATGTTTTCTAAACATTTACACTAATCGAACGAATTTCATTCCTCGGTCATCTTCGAATCCAGAAAGCAGTAGAAGCAGGTAGGAGTAGAAGGGGAAACATTTATGGTGGGTGGCGCGACTGGACTCCACAGGGAGCGGGCAGGCGCGAAATAACTGTCCGATCGGAAGTTCATAACTCCTGTTCCCGTACACCCAGAGCGCTCAAATTCGGTAGGAACGGAAGATAAACAAACGAAAGTATGGAAACACTCATGGTGGGCGGCAGTCTACAGGGTTGGCCAAAATTATGATTAAATTATGATTACAGCGCGCGCTGACACTCATAACGAATTTTTTCTGAGGTCATAGCAATTCGTTCGCTTTCTTCTATTTCACAAGGTAGATTACATTATTACCTTCCTGATGATACTAAACTTTTGTAGATTTTGAAAGTAATGCAAGCGTAATTACCCCGTGAATAAGTCGTCACTTTGCATTTACAAGCACTTTTGGCACGGTGCATGTGCAGACGACTCAGCGTAACAAAGCAGGGGGTACATTCGATTATAAGACGCAGGCTTTTATACGATCAGAAAGTGATTTCCCCAGTGAGCAGACCAAAAAGAAAAGAAATGTTGGCTCACCAAAGCTGCCCGGCCGCATACAAAAAATTGTCGTACGGGATTCCTGTTCACCGGCCGGCGGAAAGATATCCGCAGTGAAAAAGGTGCTCAATAAATAGAGCGATAAGATTTATATGAAGCTTAAAGAAATGAAAGTGATACAGCGCCTGGCTCACTAACTTTCTGTGATGGCCTGTGCTAGCATCACTGCCGAGGCAAAGACACCGATTATTCTTGTAAATTATGGAGTGAAAGTTGGTTTGGAGGCCTGTTTGATCTCTTCGAGCGCAATAGGACACTTTGATGATTCGAACCGGTCGTATTGTCAAGATGAAGCTCCTGAGCGCAGAACAGAATTTGCCTAGAAATTTCGTAAAGGGGGTTTCTTGACTTTATACCCTTCGATCAGTGACCACTCTGGAGCCCTGACCTAAATCCCATGAATGTCTCAATGTGATCAGCCTCTGAGATGAAACCATCCTTCAGCTCAAACAAGAGAAGAAATAATCTCGAAAATGCTTAGCAAAAAGCCGGGACCAACTCGATGACCCTAGCTGCGCGCCACCGTCAATGCCGTCCATCGTCGTCTCTGGGGTTGGATGAAAGCAGAAAGCAACAGATCCCAGTCTCAATATACTATTTTGATAAGAGATTAGTGATAGACACTTTTATGAAATTGGTTTGCTTTTTTAGCTTTTTATTCGTTTTCGGGGATGTGATGTCTGTGTAATCATAATTCTGGCCCACCCTGTAGATTCCGCCCACAAGGGGCGCGCGTGCGCGAAAGAAACCCACAATTTGTCAGGAGAGCAGTAGATGAGGCAGTACCTCACCTATGCAAGGGTACTGCTCAGAGAATGCTTGGGGAATGGAGTGGATCGTAGGGGTATGTAGGAGCGGAGCGTGCGCAAAATGAGCGTAATCTGTGTATATTTGCGCAGGCAGGCCAGAAAAAAGAGAATGAAGTGATTTACTAAAACATACATGAGTTGTGCAGGACTCCGCTCATGACATGCTGCGCTGTGTTGGGTGCGTGTGTGTGCCTTTGGTCAGAAATATGTATACACCGCCCTAGAGCATGCAAATTGGGAAAGGACGAGGTCGACTGGCCATTTTTACACAACAATTAGCGCCGGGGGAGAGATTGGAAGTCAAGAAGAGCTACAAGATTAACTTTTAGGAAGAGGAAGATTACACCAACTTAGACCAACTTCCCGCACTGCCCTTATTCCAGGTGAGCGATTTGTACACTTATTTTTCCTTCCCTTACAGTTCCCCGCTTGTACAGCTCGAAAATTGCACTTAATCCCTGCGATCCCCTACTCACGATTTCAGGGATAGCGGCGCTGATCGCAGCGATCGCTAATGGACCTGATATTCGGCTCTGTCTTCTGTTACAATAGACTTCAATCGAGAAAGAGAACACACCATGAGAAAGAGTTGCCCTCACACATGAAACCGCAGCAGTTGCCATTGCCATTCAAGACAGTAAGCCGGATGTCAATGATGTCAGTTAAACGACTGAGTTGGAAAGCGAAATCATTCCGCTGCGGTGCAAGACTCAATCACAGTTTAATGAAAATTGAATATATAAAACAGCTTAGGAATGAGTAGAACACTTCACAACAAGGATTGATGCAGCCATTTCAAGAAATTTCAAAGTAAGAGAAATCGGGTAACATCTACGGTACAGAGCCGAAAAATATCAGTATAATTCTAAAGTGAGCTTTAGCGAGGTTGGCATGATGCTGATGTCATCAAGAAAAACTGTGGACACCGATGCTTTGCAAGAATAGAGAATCTTGTGACTGCACTCACATTACGAAGAATGGTTGGAGCGGTAGGATTCCCTTCGAATGTGCATGAGCATATATGACCGACTTGGAAACAGTCATTATCACAGATGCACTACAGTGACCAGTTCCACTTATGAATCTGCACCTGCCAGATATTATGTAATGTTTCACGGCAAATATTACTTTTTTAGGAAGTCGCATTGGAAGAAAAATTGATACATTAAGGTCCCAAATTGCACAAGAGTTCCATGCCTCGGAATTCAAGCGATGTGACCGGGCGACCTTGCTTGAACAAAATGAACACCTGCGAGCATCTGTAACATCTAACGAATATACAATTTTGCATTCGCGTATAGCTTTCAAGATTTTCTGTCCAATTATGCGAGGGCGCGGAGTGGAACACTAACCAAAAAAAATCAAAAGAAACGCAAATTACGACTCAATGCGAGGATATGAGTAAATCTGCTGAGCTGGATCTATTATCTATTAAAGATCCGCACACTTCGAAATACGTCGATCAATGAAGCGAGAATCTAGAATTGAGGTTTGCGTGACACAAAAGGGCACATAATTACGAGGTAACAACCATTTACAGAGCACAGCTACCATGTCACGATAAATGAGAAGGTAACTAGCTAATGCTACATTTTACTGCTTGATTGGATCTCTTCAAACGATTGCCGAAGAGCTTGCTCCTTTTGTCGAGTGAATAATTCTTCCTCGTAGACGGAATCAGTTTGTTGGGCAGCATTTTCTCTTCCTTCTAGGATATTGTGGACTAGTTTAAGAATCGCATCCCTGGACATAACAATTATAAAACACGCGACTTGTCAAATAGTGTTATGACATTATATATGTTGCATAATATGGATGAGCCGCTGAGAACTATAGTGATTAGTTCGCTCATAACGACTATCTCATCCTTAAATATTGTTCCAAAAAATACATTCTGAACCTCGTTTGGATCATGATCACTGTTGTTTGATGAATTGCCCTGAAGGCAGTAGCAAGGATTTCACGGGCAGAAACACCTTCGTTCGAGAAGTCTTCCATTTCACTACGCAGCACATCGTTGTCCTCTAGAATGAGCATTTCGAAACTAACAATGAAGTAGATAACTTTTGATCTCATTTCAAGAAAAGTAAACAATGGATGGTCATTAGATTTTCGTCCTGTCAAGCAGTAATCTCTCAACAAAGTCACGAAACTATTGAGAGCGGAATATGATTTTTCAGTTGGAAAGAAAACCAATCCGTGAAGAAAACAACAGCCTAACAGCTGGTTGTGATCGATGGGGTTCTTTTGTTTGTCTGTCTGTCTGTCAGTCTGTCTGTCTGTCAGTCTGTCTGTCTGTCAGTCTGTCTGTCTGTCAGTCTGTCTGTCTGTCTGTCTGTCAGTCTGTCAGTCTGTCTGTCAGTCTGTCTGTCAGTCTGTCAGTCTGTCAGTCTGTCAGTCTGTCAGTCTGTCAGTCTGTCAGTCTGTCAATCTGTCAATCTGTCAATCTGTCAATCTGTCAATCTGTCAATCTGTCAGTCTGTCAGTCTGTCAGTCTGTCAATCTGTCAATCTGTCAATCTGTCAATCTGTCAATCTGTCAATCTGTCAATCTGTCAATCTGTCAATCTGTCAATCTGTCTGTCAGTCTGTCTGTCAGTCTGTCGGTCTGTCAGTCTGTCTGTCAGTCTGTCGGTCTGTCTGTCTGTCAGTCTGTCTGTCAGTCTGTCAATCTGTCAATCTTT